AACAGCTCTCGCTCCACAACTCACAAGGGCTGAATCTAAGCGCTGGTAGACAGCTCCGGCTCGACTCCTGTGAGACAGAGTTTTTTTACCAGTTAAGCCATCCGCAGAACTTCATCGTTTTTTTTTAATATCCGGATTCTACAAGCATCTTCAGGAATGTCAGAGGCATTCTCCGGCATGTTACTGGTATTCTCAGGAAAGTTAATAGCATCCTAGAGTATGCCTATAGCATATGAAAAGAAGCCTCTAGTGTTCCAGAGATTATTTCTAGCATTCCTGTGGATGCTCGCAGCATTCTGTATTCAGAAAAAACGATCAAGTCCTTCAGCAAGTTTAGTTAATTAACAGCTCTAGATCACATGGGCTGAGCTGGAGCTGTCAGAGACCTAATCCACACTCATACCCAGTGTTTGACGCGCAAGCGTCGTGCGCGGAAATATCTCTGCGTGCAACGGTTGTGTCACGACTTTTACAATATTTTATTGTAGCTAATTCATATATGGCAATCATTACATTTCTTCCCATTGTATAAATATACTCATCATGACCATGCAACAACATTCAAAAGAGTTTCGTTCGATTACAATTTCAGTAGTATATATTGAGCTAATTCGTTTCATCTTTTCTTTTTGCCGACTATAGTTGGAATATGCATCTGCTACTCTTATTCAACACAAAACTAGTTTATTAGAGCAATACATCTTTAGAGAATTCACTAGGCGATGTCTACCGGTTCGAAAGTTATTAAATAATACAGTTTTTATTTTTCCACGCTTTGGTCGTGTTACATATCATCAAGTTCTTCGTCAGGAACGGACCGTTTTGAGTGAGGTGTGAGTAGGGGTGGGAAGTTACCGTTCCCAGACCGTTTCCGGGTAACGGTAACTTCTTCGTTACCAGTTGTTAGCTCGTTTTACGAGCTGATGTTTATTTATTTCGAAAATAAGTCGGACTGACTAAAATGTCCTTAACAACACGTACATATATATATAAACATACAATAGGAGAAGAGAAAAAGAAGAAGAAAGGAATAACAATTACAAAGAGAGAGAGAGAGAGAGAGAGAGAGAGAGAGCACGGACCATGATAGGTATGAGTCACCGTTAACAGTCCTCCCCTCCCATATTGGATGTGTGTCCCTACACATCAAAGATCATTAAATCACGTTTAATTAATTTTCTAACTGATTAATATCCATCATATTGTCATGTACTATATCATATTGTATAAGTTCAAGTTTAATATTTGATATTGAAGATAATAAATCTTTTTCATTTATATCAAAATCATTTTGTACATAAATTATAGCTTTTTAATAATATATTACTTTCATCATTTTTTCATGGCGTATTATACGTAAAAATGTTTCCGAATAAAATTATGAATAAATTATTATGTCAAAATGAATATGAAATAAATTTTGATACTATTCATTGATTTCATTTTGATATTTTTGTAAAATAGATGCTTTAATATTGAATGGAATTGTATATATTGTAAACATTTATTCCATACAGTTTGAGTACATTCTCGAGCTTCTTCTTCTTTTTATAAAATTGATAAACAATAAGATGTAAAATCATTTTTAATTCGAATATTTAATGAAGCTATTTAATTCGTATGATCATTTATTTCATAATCAGCATTATCATTTATTTCATTTGCTATTAATAAATTTTTGTATTTAATATTTTTAATCGTGTAGATGAGTCATTTATTCCATTTAATTTTTCTAAATGTTTATTAGTTTTTTCTTTTCTTTTTTATTTCTAATTCCATAGTTTTATCTTTAAAATAATTATCTTGTAAAGAACATTATAATATTAATTGATCATTATATTTAATGGGTATTTGTTCTGAAATTTCAATAGATTCTCATGCTTTTCTTCAGTTGGATAAACAACAAAAAGAGAACCATTAAATTCTTTTGTTTTAAATTGTTTTTTCATTTCTATATTATCTGTTGCACCATATTTTCCAAAAAAAACTAAATAATTTATCTAATGTAATATCGTTTGTTTGTGGAGAATTTTCCATAAACAGTACGATTTTTTTATGTTAATTCAAGTTCAGCTTGACTATTAGGTAATGGACGATCTGACATTGATTTTTTAAGTAATTTATCTTGAATTAAATTGATATCACTAAGATAATATTCAATTTGTCGAATAATTTTTCTAAATCTGGTGATGTTGTTATTTGACCTATGGCTGTCGTATGATTATCTTCATCAGCATGATCAGTTTTATCAACTGTTGTAATTGTCGTTACTGAATGATCAGCATGTATAATTCTTGTTTCATAATTAAATTGTCCACCACGTTGTACAGATGTTGTATAAGTCGACATTGATGAGCCTCTAGATAATGTAACAATAATAAATGAAATGAAGATAGTTTGAATGAGTAATGATGAATGATTTCATTGGAGGATTTTTCATAAATAAATAAATAAAATTCATATTGATGATAATGATCTAAACAGAGAGATACATAATTATAATTGTTTAAAATTTGATTACGTTCATTCGTTTCTTGTTGTTGTATCATTTATTGTCGTTGTTGCAGTTGTTTATTTTTTTTTTTTTTTTTTTTTTTTTTTTTTTTTTTTATTTTGTTTATTTTCTTTTATATATATATATTTTTTTTTTTTTAACCCCATCGATCAGCATATTGTGATTTTGAAAAATAATTTATTTTTATAATTTTTGTTGCATGTTCTAATTCTTGTCGGGATTTGAGACCAATTGTAACTTCATTATATTTTCGATTTATTGTAATTTGATGGCTTGTATATATGTTATCATCACGTAATTGGGCCCGTATTTTTCGAAAATCATATCGGTGGTAAATGGGCCGTTTTATTTTGTATTGAAAATTTGGATGATGTTTTTGTTTCCATTTTAACTTCAGGTTTTTCTTTCTTTGTTTTTCAGATTTTGATAGTTTTGTTGTTGTTCTTGTTGTTTCTTCTTGTGTTTGTTGTTGTTTCTGTGCATTAAATTCGTTCATTTCTTCTTCAGTTGCTTCAATTGTTACATAATTTTGTTCATCAAATTTTGGTAATAATTTTTGAGGTTCTTTATCGAATCTTGGCATTAATATTTTGGGTTCGTCGTCTTCACTAATGTCGGTTAAATCATCAATATTTAATGTAATATTTGTCGATGCTGTTTTTGGTGTTTCATAATTTGTTTGAATAGTTGCATTTAATGGATATATCATAAAGTAAAGCTTAGTGACAGCGGTACAATCTGCAACGGCATAATTTATCATTGATATACGTTTTTCTTGTTCTTCATTTGCATTGTAATGGTTCTTACTAAACAGTTTTTTCTTCCATGTGTTGAGTTTGAAGTCCAGTCCACAACACCACTTGTTAACTGTTTCGTTCTTGTCTAAGAATTGTTGAAAAACTGTTGCCATTGCATCCTGCAAGGACCAGTTAGCTTGCTGTTCACGGCTTTCCCTCACGGGATGCGTGATACTTGGAAATTTGTTGTACCAGCCACTAAAATGATCCTGTAAGTTTATTGTATTTTTAATCTTACCTTTTTCAAATAATCCATATGAATGAAAATTTTTAAATTCATTGTCGAATGGTCCCCAGGTAATTTTTGTATTTTCATCACCAAATATGCTTGAGCAAAGTTCTTTAATTTTCTTGAATAATAATGAATTTTGATCAGGTAAGTAAAACATTTCAATTAATATTAATGTTGACTCGTGAATTGAATGAATAAATTGGATTTGTACGAGGGCACCTTTTGCTACCTTGTTTATTATTTGGGATTCTGTATCGATTGCATATATATTTGTTGTTCTTGCCTTCATTATTAATTCTTCTACCGTTTCGATTGACGAATAATGGTGAAGATGACGAACTGTAAGATTTGATGGTGATTGAAAAGGTGGATATTCTGCCCGTAGTTGTTCGTTTTTTTCCATTCGACGAGTAGTTCTCATCCAATTTTTTTGTTGTTCCGGCTTTAGATCATAGTAATAGCGTGGTGGATTAGACGAATTTCTTGTTAAGCTAGACATAGTAAATCACTGAAGAAAAAAATGTATGTTTACTTTGTGTATTGAAGAGATTAAATGATGTATAACTAAAATGAAAATGCGTAATTTATAATTTAATGTCGTAATAAAATATTTCTTCACTAAGGTCATTGTCCGGAAGGTCAATTTTTCTTTCCTTTGTATATAGATATGTTCGATTATTATCCATATATAAGATTTTCTTTTCTTTGTATATACTAGACGGTTCTATTGTTGTCCATATATATAAAATTTTTTCTTTCCTTTGATGTGGTCAATATGTATATATCATGTTGGTGCTCTGATTATAGTAAAATTATTGATGTGTAACACTTGCGTTCTTCGATGCATCGTACAGTCCGGCCGGTATTGTACTAGTGCCTCGATTATAGTGCGCTGTGATTGGATGATGAGTCATCGCGTATAATGTGTTTATCTGATGAATAAAATATATAAGAGAAAATCAATTAGAATAAATGTTTGAGGTAGACAACCCCTCCATGTCAGTGAGAAGGTGAAATTCTGTCTCCCCGGCATGGACTGCTGAATCCAGCTCAATCATTTTAATTCAATTAAATGAATAATTATAATTAAATTTTTCTTTTTTTCTTTACTATTTATAGTATCATGTACCACATCTTTCCCTTATGGGATGTGCTTATTGAATTAAATTCCATCGTTCCACCAATGGAACGATGACATCCATTGTTACTTGTCTTGTTAATGTTAATTTTTTTACATGTTGAGCAATGAATGTTTTATGTCCTAATTGTTTAATAATTTTAAATGGACCTTCATATCGTATATCAAATTTATTCCTAATATTTTTTGTTTTGATTAAAACTAAATCATTAATTTTTAATACTAAATCTTGTCTATGTAAATCATATCGAGCTTTATATTGTTGTTGATTTTTTATAATATTGTTTCGAGCTTCATTCACTAATTTTTCGAGATATATTCTAATTTTTTCACTGTGCTCTGAATCTTGTGTGAGCGAAATAATTTCTTTTTGTTGATCAAATGGAAGTGTAACTTGTCTTCCATGCATCATTTCGAATGGTGTTTGTTTTGTTGTTGCATGTATTGATGTATTATAATTAAATGTAACAAATTGTAATACTTCATCCCAATCTGTTCGTCGTTCATTACATAATGCGGCAATTTTTCCATCCATTGTAGCATTAAATCGTTCAATTTGTCCATTAGTTTGTGGATGATACACTGTGGAATAAAGATGGGTAACTCCAATGTTTTCAAATAATTTGTTCATAACTTGAGAAGTAAAATGAGTACCGTTATCGGTTAATATACATGTTGGAGTACCATATTTTAATATAACATCATTAATAAGAAATTTCACTGCTGTTGTTGCTGAGCAATCTCGAACAGCTTTTGCGATAACAAATTTTGATAATACATCTGTTAGAGATATAATGTATCTATTTCCTTTTTTTGATGTTGGAGTTATTGGACCATGAAAATCCATACTTAATAATTTCCATATTCCTTCTGGTGGTGGTATTGGTTTTAATTTTCCTGGTAATTTTTGACGACGATAATTGTTTTGTGCACATGGTAAACATGAATTTAAATGATTTTTAATATCTGCTATCATTGTTGGCCAATAATAACGTTCTTGTATTTTTCTTATTGTTTTGTCACGTTCAAAATGTGCTCCATTTGCAGGTGTATCATGATAAATTTTTAATATATCAGCACGTATTCGTCCTATTGGAACGTATGGCACTGGTGAAAGTGGTAGTTGTTGTTTTCTAAATAATATTCCATCTTTAATAAAATACTGTTTTTTATTCTTAATATTCTTTTTAATTTCTTGAGTTGTTTTATCTTCTTCTTGAAGTTTTCTTAAATCATCCATATCAAATGGGATGATCTTATTTGAATTTTTTTCTGATGGTTTGATTATCAGTTCTTCATCAGTCGCTTCTTTCCCTTGTGGGATGAGCTCATTAATTTTTCCATCTGTCAGTTTAATAGATGGTGTTGCCATTGTTTGTTGTTGTAATTTGGCTTGAGCTCTAGTAATTGCTGTTGTCATTTTTAATGGAGTTAAATTATTTTTTAACGATAAAAGTGATAAATCTGTTTGTGTTGCTGTTGATTCATATTGAGTTCGTTCTTCAATATCTTCTTCAGCTACTTCGACTGGTGAGGGTGTGGGTGTGGGTGTGGGTGTGGGTAGGGAAGTCTTTCTCTAAACTCACACCCACGGAAATACCCACACCTATATCCACACCCACACCCAAACTCACACCCACACCCACACCCACACCCACACCCACACACATTCACACCCCACAGCGACACCCACCCACACCCACACCCACACCCACACCCACACCCACACTCACACCCACACCCTGTCTGTTATCGAATGAAAAGTTAAATCTCTGAAGTCATACTTTAAAGGAGAAATTAGCCATGCAATATGCACGAGTTCTTGCTAGTCGCATACATTGTTGACTCATGTATTCATTTTTAATCTATTTAATTTAACTTCTTATATATCGATATGAAATGATGTATATAAGAATGTTATGATCGTAAAGTTTTATCTGAAATATCCAAATAAATAACAAGTTTCACTTATAGGACTATCAGATATGTTTACAATTGAATGTGTTTTAAGCACTTCTGACACTACTTAGCTGCTGATGCCAAGCTACACTCTTGAGATTTCATATGTTTTTAATATAGTTCATTTAGTTAGAAAAAATATATATGGCAGCAGAGAAAAAAAGTAGTGATATTTTAATTTTGATTGATTTGGTCCTTGCGATATTCATTATCATTACAGTAGTTTTAGGGTGTAAGTGCGGGTGTTGATATCTTGTTTTCCCACACCCAAACGGTGTTAAATGTAAAATACAATTATGTACATCTCGTTTTATACATTATCAAGTGCACATACCCCAAGATAAGAGACGTGGAAAAGACAAAGGAAAATAATGAAAATGACCCCGTGTATTTTCTTCTCCAACCGCGCAACAAATAAAGAAAAAGTAGAACAATAAGCCCTATGAGAATTTCAATGATTCTCATGGACAGCCAAGAAAAAAAGAATGACCTAGATACAAATAAGACGAATATAGGTAATCCACAAAGAAGAGAAAAGAAAAGAGAAAGAAAGAAGAACATATATCCGCCTGGCAAAAAATAGTTGGACACAGTATTTTTCACAAATCATTACTATAAATTAATATTTTGAGAAAAGTATGGCAAATCGGTCCACAGTGAAGGCACTCTCATCTCCAGATTCCCCAGAAATTTTTTTTTATTTGTTTTTTCGAATTTATTTTCAATATAGAAAAAAGTTATTACAAAACTAACTATATAATCTACAAATGCATGACAATAGCACTAAAGAGGAAAATTCTGTAGTAGCCAAGAGAGATATGACAGTTAATTTTTATACGCGTAGGTAACCGTTTTCATTTACAGGATACAAGGGTGAGAATCAGGAGCAACTATTGTTTTCTTTCTTTTCAAATGTTATACACGTGATTGGTCTCTGATTTCTCGTCTTTCTTTCTATTTTCTCGCGAATATAATTTAGTTACATGCATCATTTTATAACCTAGTGTTAACTATTAAAACGAACAGAAATCAAGTAATTGTTCATTTTCTATTGTTTTGAAAAAGTTGTTCAATCACAATGAGAGGTCAGTTATCTGTTGGTGAGCGTTGGCGTATTGTTTCGTTAAGGTTCGATCAAGGACTAAATGTAAGTCAAATAGCTCGTATTATTAATTGCAGTGTCCAAACAGTTTACAATATACTTATTTTATATGAACAAACCAACTATTTCATCGAACGTAATGGACGAGGTCATCATAACATATTAAACGGCCATGAAATTCATACTCTAAGACAAATCTTGTACAGATATTTGAATGCAACTTTGACTAATATTGCTAATATATTATTTCAACGAATTGATCTTGTTGTTAGTCCTCGAACCGTTCGATATTACCGTTTGTCGCTAGGTTTTCATGCAGTTCATGCACGAACTCAACCATTAACTAATGCAACACATGCACAACGAAGATTAAATTTTTGTTTATCACATGCAAATGATCAATGGCACAATATTGGGTTCATTCTCAAAAGAGATACTTTTTCTCTTACATCTTTCTATTATATATTCTGTGCAGCAATGCCATCCCTTCATATAGCTATTTAATCATTCTATAGCTATTTAAATATTGAACACGTGTTTTACGTTACTCAATAGCTACTTATTTTTTCTATGACTATTTAAACTTTTCTTCAGCTATTTATTCTTTTGATATAGCTATTTAATTCTTCTATAGCTATTTAATTATCGAGCAGCTGTTTTATATTACTATGCAGCTACTTAATGTTTCTATGACTATTTAAAATTTTCTTCAGCTATTTAATCTTTTAGTGGTGCTATTTATTGATTGTATAGCTATTTAACTCCTTGAGGACGGGGTGACTGTATGAAACAAATGAAGATTTTCAAAACTCTCAAAGCATATATTTATTTCCATCAATGTAAAGCGCAAACATCTAAAAGTATTTAAGGGTATGATAATCTCGAAAACAGCTCGATATACAAAGACCAAGATTACATTCAGCGCATTCATATCTAGACTTAGCCCTCTTCTCAGCTCTTCTCATAGTATTTGCGCAAACCACACACTGTTTTCGTGGGTCTTGTTTTGTCGATGTTGGAGGTATAAGTGTTGGGAAATGGCGCTCAACTAATCGAACTAGATTATCTCCACCACTGGGTCGTTCTCTTGATGCTTTTGGTTTCCTATGCAATGCAATGATTTGACGGATCAGTTGTAGTCAAAAGTCACAAAATTGAGTAATTTGATCAGTCTTTTGCTTGTGTAAGATATACGAATTCAACACTGACATATCCAGCAAATGGAAGAAAAGTTTTTTTATACCATTTTACTTATTTGCGAACACATTCGACATAACTAATCTGCATACTCGATCTGTCAATGGAAGCTATGTTTTTATTGTAGTCGATGACTGAGACTGGTTTTTGAATTTGTTCATTAGTTTTCCAATGACCTTTTCCAGTGTTTGCCAATTTTGCTTCATGTATTGTCGAAAGTATGGTAACTTCTCTTTTGTCAAACCATTTTACAGCAAGTAAAATGTCAGTGTGTCGATAGTCACTATCCCCTTTTTCTAACTGATCAGTAAACTTTGGCATCCCGGATCGATTTTCCCGTACTTTACCGTAGGCTCCAGTTGAATTCGCATGTAACTCTTCGAAAAGGGCTGGACTCGTGAACCAATTGTCCACGAATAAATTGTGACCTTTTTGAAGATATGGTTGCATAAGACTCATTACGACTGATCCTGCAATGCTAAGCCCTTTGTTATGCTCGATCTGTGTTTCAAATCCGGTGTAAATGACAAAATCTAATACAAATTCGGTGCGACAATCACACAAGATGAATACTTTGACTCCATATCTATGTCGTTTGGAAGGAATGTACTGTTTGAAACCTAACCTTCCTTTCCAAAGCATCAAACTTTCATCGATGCATAGATTTTTGTATGGGACCAAAGTGTGTCGAAACTTTCCCTTCAGATGCTGGATGATCGGCCGTATCTTAGATAATCTATCCCCATCAGATTCGTTCACATTATCATTGAAATGCAGAAATCTCAAAAGTAGCAAAAATCGATCTCTTGGCATAATATCGCCGAATATCGGCGTTGCGATCAGATGATCGGTTGACCAGTAGTCTTTGATTCTGTACTTTCTTACATGAGCCCTCAACATAAAAGTCCCCAAAAAAAGGTATATCTCTTGAGAATCAGTTGGAGACCATTGTGCTTGATGTGACAATGACGATGCATATACGTCTGATGCATTTGCTTGAAATTTGTTTGTCTCATCCACAATAATTTGAATCAATTCTTGATCAAAGAATAACTTGAAAAGATCTAACGGCGAGTCATCATTCAAGGTAGTGGATATCCCACAATTGTTGCTTTGGAACTGAAATAGCTTTGGTCTATAGTTCCATTTCTGCCATGATTTTGAACTTGAAGAGCGACTCGAACGATTAGATGAGAAAGTATTGTCATCATCCGATATCTCCATGTTACTTCCTGAATCCGAACTACTATCTTCACCGATTTCAGATCCGTCTTCAGTTTCTGAATCTATTTCATCTTCAGACTCTGCATCATAAAACATCTCGTTGCTTTCAAGTGTTCTAATTGCTGTCATTTGAATGCGTCAGGTATAGGAACAGAAACAATTTTAAATAGTACAACTATAGCTAGGACATATTTATATATAGGCACTGTAAGAGAACGAGAACGTACTAGAAGAAACAAACTGTGCATGAAGAGGACGTCATGATGACGTAAGAAGAGAGAACAGAGTTAATGGATCTATTCATAGGAAAAAAAAGAAGGCCATAAAGGGCATATTGTTATTGATAGTACGAAAACACATCAGAAGTGATAGATCTATCTCCTCAACTAGTATTTAGCTCATTGCCGTATTCAAAGAGATATATCCAAGCTAATTATAGGTTGATTCACACCCAAACCACATATATGTGATTCCCGTCCCCAAGGGGTTAATTTTTGAATAGTCGCTTTATGTTTGTATACACGTACTGAATTTTTTTTTCTGTATTTAAAATGGTGTTCTAATCGTTAATGTTTGAGTATGTGTGTGGTATCAACGCCTGTTTGTTTAACTTTGTATTAGGTATTTGAGGCTTTTGGGCTCATGTTTAATTTTGAAATAATTGTGTTGAAGTTTTGGATTCGGTATGTTTGGATATGTTTTCTTCGTTGTTGGTTTGACAGATTTAACCCTAAGAATACGTGACTGATATTTTCATATATGTTTTGCTGTTGTATTGATATAAGTTTTCAATAGCATTCTGTGGTTTTCAGCATTGCGTGAGGAATTTCGGTGTGACTGAAGTATAGTGTAGTATTTTAGAGACGATTTTTATCATCCTGCTGTTAGATGATTTTCGGGTAATATTTTCCTGTTTAATAGGTGAATGTAGGGATCAT